GCTGACCTTATAAAATGAGTTTGGAAGTTTTCCTCCTGTTTTTCGGAATAGTTTGAGAAGAATAGGTATTGGCTCTTTTAAAAATATTGTATTGAATTCACCTGTGAGCCATTGGGAGTTTTCTGATTATCAATTCAATTTCATTATAGCAATTGGTCTGTTCAAATTTTCTGTTTCTTCTTGAGTCACATTCTGGAAGATTGTGTTTCTAGGAATTTATCCATTTCTTCTAGGTTGTCCAATTTGTTAGCATGTAAGTTTTCATAATGTTCTCTTATAATTATATTTGTGTGGTATTATTTCTCCTCCTTTATTTCTCACTTTGAGTCCTCTCTTTTTCTGATGAGTTCAGCTAAAAATTTATCAATTTTATTTATCTTTTCAACAAACCAACTCTTGGTTTCATTGATCTTGTTGGGTATTTTATTCATTTTCCCCTCTAATCTTTATTATTTCCTTTCTTGTACTGGCTTTGTGTGTTCTTTTTCTACTTCCTTTAGGTGTAAGATTAGTTAGGTTTTTTTGCTTGTTTGTTTCTTTGAAATATTGTTTCTTGAGGTAGGCCTGTATCACTATACATGTTCCTCTTAGAAATGCTTTTACTATGTCTTAAAGATTTTGGACTGTTATATCTTAATTTTTATTTGTCTCCATGTATTTTTTAATTTTCTCTTTTATTTATTTGTTGAGCCATCATTTATTTAGTAGTATGTTGTTTGTTGGCCTCCATGTGTTTGTGCTTTTTCTAGTTTAAGTTGCAATTGATTTCTAGTTTCATATCATTGTGGTCAGAAAAAGTACTTGAGATAATTTCAATATTCTTAAATTTATTTAGACTTCTTTTGTGGCCAAACATGTAATCTATCCTGGATAATGTTCCATGTGCACCTGAAAATAATGTGTATTCTTCTCTTTTTAGTTAGAATGTTCTATATGTAGCTGTTAAGTCCACCCGGCCTAATGTGTCATTCAGAGACAATTTCCCTGTTGACTTTCTGTCTGAATGATCTATTCATTGATGTAGAAGTCCCCTACTATTATTGTATTACTTTCAATTTCTCCCTTTATGTCTATTAATATTTGCTTTATGCATAGAAGTCCTATGTTCAGTATATAGATATTTACAATTATTGTATCCTTTTATTTGATTGATCCCCTTTTCATCATGTTGTGCCCTTCTTTGTCCTTTACTATAGTCTGTTTTAAAGTCTTTTTTGTGTGATATAAATATCACTTGCCTTTTTCCATCCCTTCACTTTCATCTGTATGTGTCTTTTGGTCTGATGTAACTCTCCTGTAGGCAGCAGCATATAGATGGGCTTGGTTTCTTTTATTTATTCAGTCACCCTATATATCTTTTGACTGGAGCATTTAATCCATCTATATTTGAAGTAATTATTGGTAAGTGTGTACTTATTGCCATTTTTTAAGTTGCTCCCTGGTTGTTTTTGTAGCTATTTTCTGTTCCTTTCTTCTTTGGCTTTCTTCCCTTGCGATTTGATGGCTTTCTTTAGCACTATGCTTAGATTTTATTTTTTTGTGTGTATTTTACTATAGGTTTTTGATTTATGGTTACCATTGGGTTCATATGTAACATCCTACATGTATAGTAGTCTTTATTAAGTCGATGGTCACTTAAGTTTGAACACATTTTAAAATAGTAAATTTTTACTTCTCCCTCCATTATTTTTACATATATATGATATATATATCATATATATAATATTTTACAGTTTTTTTATTTTGTGTATCCCTGGACTAATATTTATAGATATAATTGATTTTACCATTTTGTGTTTTAACGTCCATATTGCCTATTTTTAAGTTATTAATCTATAGTATGTTGGGTGTAGGTTTTTTTTCCTTTCATCACATTAAAGATATCATGCTATTCCCTTCTGGCCTGCAAAGTTTCTGCTGAAAAATCATCTAGTACACTTATGTGATTTCTCTTGTATGTAATTGTCTTTTCTCTTGCTACTTTTAAAATTCAATCTTTATCATTATTTTTTTCCATTTTAATTATGATTAAAAGACCAACTTGGATTCATCTTCTTAGGGACTAGAGAGTCCTGGACTGAATGCTTCCTGGACCTGAATGTCTGTTTCCTTCCTCAGATTGGGCAAGTTTTCAGCTATTATTTCTTCAAATAAATTTTCTGACTCCTCTCTCTCTTTTCCTTCTAAGACCCCTTATAATACAAATGTTATGACATTTGATAATGTCAGAGTTCCCTTCACCTACTTTTATTACTTTTTTCATTTTCAGCTTCGTTGCTATTATCATCTTCCAGATTGCTGATCCATTTCTTTTCATTCTATCATCTGCTGTTGATTCCCTCTAGTCTATTTTCATTTCATTTATTGACTTCTTCAGCTCTGTTTTTCTATTTCTTTGTTGAAGTTCTCAGTGAGCACCTCCACTCTTTTCTCAAGTCCAATGAGTATCTTTATGACCATTACTTTGAATCTGCTATTAGACATATTATCTCTGTTTCACGTAGTTCTTTTACTTTGATTTTGTCTTGTTTTGTTTGGGACATATTCCTATGTCTCCGTGTTTGTCTAAATCTGTGTTTCTGTGTTTTTGGTCTTAAAATTAGTGATCTTGTGTAAATGAGGTCCTGTGGTCCCTTCTAACACAATCCCACCTGAATGCCACATTCAGACATTTTAGGGGTGTCCCGTGTCAGCTGTGTCCATCTTCCTGTTGTGGCTGAGCCATGGTTGCCTCCAGGTAAGCTGTCTGCAATAACCTGCTTGGCCTGCTGTGAATACATTAGGTAGGTTTGCTCCCTGTGCTATTGACGTGTCTGGCTGCAGTCACCACAGCCTCCTTAATAGGCCAGGCCAGTAATCAGCCCAGCTGTCTGCAATTAGCCTTTCTGGCACAGCTGCAGGTGCATCAAGGAGCAGAGCTTATTCCACAAACAGTGAAAAGGTCTGGTTGCTGGAACTGTGAGTGTTCTGGTGTGGCAGCACAATCACATTGGAGTGGTGCCAGTCGTGGCCAGGGCTGCCTGCCAAGTGAGGCAGGGCAGGAGTCACTTTGGAGGCAGGTACATTGAGTAGAGTGGTTGCCCAGGAGATGGCCAGCGTAGAGCATGCAGTGATAACAAGATGGATGGAGAGTGTTACAACTGGTTCCCATAGGCATTTGGCTATCTAGCCTGGGGAAGAGCAAGAAAAATGGTGCCCACCAGCACTTTTGTTCCTGGAGGAATCTCTTGCAGATCTCTACTCCTCTGAAACTTGTTCTAAGATTAGTGGATAAATCTCCTTCGTGTACACCCCAGGCACTTATCAAACTGTTGGTTCTGTGCTATGTCTTGGGCTGTTTTTTTAGTATGTTGGCTTTTTAAGGGCAGGAACTTGGTTTCCTATCACTCTTGGACTGTCCCAGAGTTAAGCCCTAACAGTTTTCATAACCAGACATTATGGGCACTAGTCTTCCCAGTACAGGTTCCCAGTGCCAGGGGTGCCCGGTGTGGGGTCTAATTGTCTTGGTCCTCCGCGTTTGTGATGTCCCTCTTGTTTGCAGTTAGTTGTGCCACAGGTTTGGTTCCTAACCACATCTCTACTCCTCTTACCCTTTTTGATATTGTCTAAGACTAACTGTAAAGATCTGCTGTGCCAGTCTTCAGGTGATTTTCAGAGTTAGTTATATACATGTAGTTGATGCCTCACTGTGCCCATGGGATGAGGTGAGCTCAGGATCCATCTACTCCATCTTATGAATGTCTGTTTACTTTGATTCTAATTGTTCAACTGGTTAGTAGTTAGGAGGCTTCCCCCCCCCCCCCCCCC